CTAATTGATCTCGGAATCTCATCCAGCTGTTTCTCGGTAGGAGCCAGAATACCTGTTTCAACAACAGGCTTGTTCCACTCCTCCACCAGGCTTTGTGTAAAGGAGTGCCTCCCGTTCTCGGTTTGAAATGCTCTTCCCTGTAGCTTCTTCTGGTTTGCGTTTTCCCTGTTGGTTCTGAAAAAGCCCGCTGGGTCAGACAGATCCCTTTTTGGGGTCAGGGAACCCGCCGTGCACCCTGGACGTGATGTCGTTGTTCACCGGGAAAGCTCTGGTGTCTGGTTCCTGGGTCCGGACTGATCGCTTTTTCTTTTTCCCCTCAGTCAACAAGCGCCTGGACGAGTGGGTGACGCCCGACAGGCTGGACCTGAAGAAGCTCCAGTTCCCCAAAAAGGAGGCCAAGACGCCCACCAAGAACGGCCTGCCGGGCTCGCGGCCCAGCTCCCCGGAGAGAGACGTGGTAAGAGCTCACGGCTCCGAGCTGCTGGAGAGCGACTGACCCCCCCCCCCCAACGCCGCCGTTCTTTCTGAGCCTGAAGCTCGGCGCCAGTGAGCCTCAGACCGGACAGCCCCCGAGGACCACCGGTTCAGCACGGCTCCCTCTCGCTCCCAGGACCAGGCTGGGCTCGGCCTCTGGAAATCGTCTCCAATGCTGCCTTTTTCTCTAGCCTCCCCGGGAAGAAGGAACTGTCGGGATGGCTCCCGAAGTGACGCCGGGCTGTCCCATGCTCTTTCCTGTTCCTGCAGACCTGTGCTGGTGCTGATCTTCTAGATGTTGTGCATGTCGGTCTTCTGCTTGATTATTACAGCGTTGTGAACCCTCTTTTTTTACTGCATTTTTATGACTGCACAAAACCAGCCGTGCACCGGGGTGTGGCTGAGCTCACCTGGGTCCGGCCTCCGGGCCGCGGACCCGGCGCCGCTGAGCTCACCTGGGTCAGTGCAGCCGCAGAAATGCAGTAAGGACCACAGGCGCGCAGAGAAGGAGGTTGAACTGTCTTTCGCTGTCAATAACACCCTTTTCTATTCAAATTCAGAGGAAGAGTCTAGATCACAGCCTCCAAACGGTCACAGCTCCATCCAGAGGCAAAACTGTCCCCATTCCGGTACACCTTCACCCGTCTTCCGCAGGCACCGGGAGGGAGGAGCGAGGGGCGAGGGGAGATCGG